GGTGTTTTTATATCTCTCCTTAGGTGCTCATAGTCAAACCTTGACAGAATCTGACCCAGTCATCAAAAGTCCTGGTGCTTCTCACAGGCTGACCTGCACAGCGTCTGGGTTCACATTTGGAGACTACAGGATGGTCTGGGTCCGCCAGGCTCCTTGGGAAGGACTAGAGTGGATCGCTTATATAAGCACAGCTAGTACACCTATCCGTTACGCCTCGTCTGTCCAGGGTAGATTCACCATTTCAAGAGACGATTCCAGACGTCAACTCTTTCTACAAATGAACAGCTTGAAGGCTGAAGATACAGCAGTGTATTACTGTGCCAGGTGTCTCACAGTGACAAAATCTAAAGGGAATCAATTCAAAAACTGGTTCCATTAACGCTATAACCACCCATATTTCACATTTCTAGTTTTTGAAATTCGAATTCATTTAATGCGCTGGTAAAAAGGCTGATGTGTACAACTAAAACTTAAAATGTTAAAGTATTAAACAATGTTAGAAAAATAAAACAACTTTGTTGATTAAAATTATTTATGAAACAGATGTATGTTGTGTACTGAATAAATTATTATTATTATTTAATGAAAAAAATATATTTTGTAAATGATTCCTTAAAGAAAAACTGAGACACACCACTGTAAACACAGGAAGCAGCATCAATTGTCAGTCAAAAGTAGTTCTGGCCTTTAAACAATTTCATCTAAACATGTTTGATGTGAGTCTAATAGGCTTTACATTGAGATAATCATTTTTTGTTAAGCATGACACAAGAGGTTAAACCATATTAATTAGGGAAATCTATAAAAGACAGATCCAGAATAATTAAATAAATTATATATAAAAAAATCTACATAGATGCCATGAGTTGTAAAGGGTTTAACCAGTGTAGTTTATGTGTTTGCATCTACACATATGTCCGTGATGTTTTTGTAGAGCAACTTGGAATATTTTACATTTACCTGCATATTCATATGCATGCAAACAAGTTGGGTTTATAAGCCAGTGAAGGGTGGATTTCAAGTCTGAGGTCCTTCTACCAGTTCAACTTTGACTCCAGCCATGGTCTCTGTAGCGTTAATGCTGCTGCTGGCAGCTGCATCTGGTGAGGAGCTTCTCTCTCTCACCCATACAAATTGCTTTAGGAACACTGGTGTTTATCTGAACGATGGTTTCAATGTTTATATGTCCCTACAGGTGTGTTTTGTGTTGAGCTCATCCAGCCAGACTCAAAGATCGTTCAGCCTGGAGGGTCTTTGAGCATCACCTGTCGGGTCTCTGGTTATTCGTTGACCGATAGCAACTATGCAACAGGTTGGATTAGACAGCGTGATGGAAAAACACTGGACTGGATTTTAACCATGTGGTACGATGGGAGCTTAGCTCAAAATAATGCTCTGAAGAACAAGTTCAGCAGCAACAGAGACACTTCTGCAGGAACAATAACGATAACAGGACAGACTCTCCAGCCTGAGGACACAGCTGTTTATTACTGTGTCAGATACCGCACAGTGCGGCAAAACACCAACATGCTCACACAAATACTCAGTATGGCTTGTTTAATCCTAAACATGTATCGCGTGCAAGCAGTTAAGCTTTGGCACTCGAGAATTTACTGCAGTAAACCGACCACTGTGTTGATAGAAACTGCCTTGACAAACGTTTTTAAAATAGAGATCATTCACAGAATAATGTCATTTCTGAGATCGACCAGTGGCCAGGGCTTTTACCTCACTCCAGAAAGTTGCTTGATTTTCTTTGCAACCCTAAGATGGATCAACCATGAATATAAAGTGAATTAACGAATAAGGTCAGATCCATAATATTATGGTCTGAATCATTAAGAGTATGTTGACTGTCAGCTAATATTATTAATAAATAATAATATTTTCAGGAACGGCCTGAAAACTGAAGATTCTGCTCTCTATTATTGCGCTCGAAACACACAGCAGCTGACGCTGGTTAAGAACCTGTACAAAATCCTCCACACCCTTTAGGTTTAAAACATTTAAGCTTCAATAAAGTAAAGGAAGGTCAAAAGCTTAAATACGTAATCACATATTAACTTAGATATCATCCAAATAATTACAAACATTGAAACAAATCTTTAAAATCCAATTACTCATCAAGACTGCATACACAATAAAACATGCAGCTGATTTCTTCACTTTTAAAAGGATGTGGAGGTATGGAAATAAAGTTTACTGAACAGTTCTTTAAATGTCTTTGGTCCAATGAGTGGAAAGAAGAGCTCCGACATCAAGTAGCATCATATTTAAGAACATAGTTTTCATAGAACTGAACAAAGTTAATGTTTGGACAAAAAGAAAACTGGCAAGTTTGCCCTATTTATTCTACGTTTCTACAATGTTAAGAGTAAAGCCCTCTCTGGTTATTATGTACCAGTATATTCTCACAGATGAGACAACAACACAGAGATTAGAGACATTACAGACAATAGCAGAACTGAAAAAAACATCTTAAAGTATAACAACATCATTAAAACAAAACAGAATCATGGTGAGAAGAAACTACACATTCCTTTAGCTCCAGGCTCCAAATTATGAATCATAAAGACTTCAGTAGGATTTCAAAATGATTAAAACTTGACTCTGCTGCTTAAAACTCCCCACCACGTTTTCATTTACTTATTTATATGTTTAAAAAAAGCACAACTAAAACGGGAGTTTCAGAGAAAAGTTTAGTACACACCTTCATGTAAAGCATTTTGAACTGCTTTATGCTATACAAATAAACATGATTTAACACCATAAACTGTGATTAAGTATTAATTTTTTGTCAGTCATGAAATTATGTTTCAAGTCAGGTCACACTCAACAGAGTGTTTTAGTCTACTACTCTACCAATAAATTTATTTTAGTACACTAAAAGGAAACGTCGCACAGTCGCATCTTTTTACTCTGAAACCACAGGCGTCAGTAACATGAATGAAACTTACGTAACTATGGATACAGTCAAATGCACAGACAGAACAGCTGCTGTTTTGGTTTGTGAGTTCCTGCAGCTAAAAGACTTTTTTATTTTTTTATTTAACTCGTTACAGAGACAGTTTGAAAATGTTTGTAGCTCAGTTGATTGACACAAAGTCTCAGATGGGATCTGGGAGAGGGTTATCTTTGATGACCTCTGGAAAAATGTATTAAATATTTGAAATGATACCGGTACAAGCAAACAATTCTGCCGCACAAACAAGGACAAACGTTGGACACCAATTTTGTTTTATTTTGAAGATGACGAAGAGGCCAACTTCACCCATATCAACTTATGAGATCAAATTTGTCAAGACAAAATAAATCTGAGAGAAATGTCTTGGTTTGATTTTTGTCTAATCAATCCAATGTTTTTTTTTTTTTTCTTTTAATAATTTTGACTAATTTGTGACTGGATAGATTTTCCTGTTAAATTTCACTGAAACTGTTTGCGTACGATGGAGGAGGAGGAGCTTCTGTTAACAAATTTCTGACGAGCTGAAATCCTATTTAAGCCAAACTGGTAGTTTTTAAAACTAACCAAGCACACTTTCAACATGGCTCACAGAGAGGTATCCCTGTTGGTGGCTGTTTTGTTTATCTTGAGTGGTGCTGAAGGTCAAACCATTAGAGAGTCTGAACCGGCTGTTAAAAACCCCGGAGAGTCTCACAGGCTCACATGCACAACATCTGGTTTTAGCTTCAGTAGCTCAGTGTGGGTCTGGATCAGGCAGCCGCCTGGCAAAAGACTTGAGTGGATTGCTTTGGTGCACACATCTAGTAGTCCCATCACTTATTCAGACTCAGTCCGGGGTAGATTCACCATCTCCAGAGACGACTCCAGCAGTAAAGTCTATCTCCAGATGAACAGTCTGAAGACGGAGGACTCGGCCGTGTATTACTGCGCTAGAAGAGACACAGTGAGGCAAAGAGTCAGAGGAGTCAGACAAAAACTACTTCCTCTGTTTACACCAGCAACAGGGAGCATTCGATCTTCTATTTATCGAAGTTTGTTTCATCTTTCTTTACAACATTGGATTTTGTTGAATAAGTTACAAAGGATAAATTTACACAATATGAAAAAAAAATACTCTCAGACGGAAGTTTCGAGGTAAAACACTTAAATATGTTCCATGTCATAAGCAGATTAGTCCATAAAAAACATTTATACTTATAAGTAATAATTTCTTATCAGAACTGAAAAAAAGAAAAAAGCTTAGAAATATTAGGAATGTTATGCTAATATCAATAACAATACATCAAAATTGTCTTTGCTCTTGATTGCCAGTAAAAGTTGAAAAACATCTCTGATTGTGACAGATGGACAGTAGGATGGTGAAACAAATGTAAATTTGGAAAGACACACAATTTAGTCCATAATTGGAAAGCAAAGTGTGGGATAAATACATACAATGTGTTGTATTTGTAATTTCATAATAGCTAATATTGCTCTATTGTGCTATTAAAATTCAGAGTCAATGCTTCTTCATAAGCCCAGTTTGAATTTCTAATTGGACTTTCACATAACTTATGTTGAAAATCAAATGTATCTAAACTTGTCATCTTAAAAACTCCTCGTTGAATCTTGACTGTGCTAACTTTTCTGTCAAATGATGCATCATTCAATTTAATTACTTGAGTTTCTTCACACAGTAAAACATCTTTATCCTTCCTCTGGTGTTAGCTTTCTCCTGCCATCTGTAGTGTTAGCGGGTCATTTTGGACCCGTGTATTAAATCAGCCATAAAATGCCCTAAAAACAATCTTTTATCATCCAATGTTTTTCTTAACTCTTGTTTAGCTGGTTGGGCTCCCTTATCCATGAAAAGATTGGTTTTAATATTTTTTTGTGGCCCCCTGGGCCTTTGTTTTAACTGGATTAAGTCTGGGTTATTGGAAATTCAACATGTATAAAATATGACAATAAGTGTGTATAGTTTTTTTTTTTTTGTTAGTTTGTTTTTTGTTTTTTTTTGCCAAAGCTGCTTATTTGCTATATTTGTTTTTGGGAGGAGTCAATGCAAAACATGGATCTTTGCTGCTTCTTCTTATCTGACCATGAAGTGAAGACAGAGATCAGTGTGTGCTCTCAGTTTGACATGATGGACGTGAGAACAGGACTCTTACTCATTTTTATTTTTTGTGAAGGTAAAAAGTTTCACTTTTGTACTTTAGCCATCTGTTTCTTAACTTATAGTGAAAAATCATCTTAATTATTCTTTTTTTTTTTAAATAACAGGTGTCTTTGGTCAGACTCTGACACAGTCTGAATCAGTAAATAAAAGACCTGGAGAATCCCACAAACTGACCTGTACGACCTCTGGATTCACCCTGAGCAGCTACTGGATGGGCTGGGTCAGGCAGGCCACTGGGAGAGGACTGGAGTGGATCACTGCAGATACTGGTGGCAGCACCAACTATTACTCTCAGTCAGTTCAAGGCCGGTTTACTGCCTCCAGAGACAACAGCAAACAGCAGCTGTATCTGCAGATGAACAGTCTGAAAAGTGAAGATTCAGCTGTTTATTATTGCGCCAGAGTCACAGTGACTGAAGTTGGTTGAGGAGTTGTACAAAATCCCGAAGCTTCATTCTGTAAAAGATTAGAAATGTAACATTTTCAAAACCACTTGCAGAGAAGGCCACGCTTAGTTTGAAGGCTTGGAATATGGAAAAGCTCACTTTCTTTAGAAAAGTACTATCTCTCAAGGTTTTATAAACTTAGTTTTGAAAAGTTTTTTTTTTTCTTACAGTATGTAATTTGGAGTGAACTTTTGTTAAAAGACAAATTAACATAACTATATTAAACTACCCAAGTACTAAAGTCAATTTTCACATATCACTGAAGCAAGTGTATATAAATAATAAAACACATAGTTAGAAGAATTTTGGACTTTGCAATAAATTATTTAATGGACTTTGATCTTTACCCGTAACTAGAGAAAAGGAATGCTTGTAGTTGCACAAGGACACTACAGGTGGCGCCATCTGATCAGTAATATTACTAAGTCCCTACTTTGACAGGACATTGCTTTTCTAGTGGCTGGAATGTGTTTGTAAAATCTTGAAAATGCTGAAAAAAACAGAATGATCACAGTGTAAATATGACAGCAGCTTCTCCATTAGTGGAGCTGAATGTCACATCATTACAGAATGGGTGCTAAAACGGCACAATGACATTGGTACTACTTATCATATTAATACAAGTAATTCCTATTTTTAAAATCAATTTAAAAAAAAAAGATTTTGATGTTTGTAAAATTTGTTGTGCCATAAGATTTATGAGGAATGAATCATTGCTGAATAAAGAAATGAGTGATTACTTATTGACCAATGTCTTTAAAGTAACAATTGTAACAATCATCAAAGTCAGACTCACTGGAGCGACTAGCAAGGTGACTGTGGCTCAGCACAACAAGCAGCCTGTATCTTGGAGCATAAAATGTCTTTAAACAAAATATTTTCAGTCAACTTTGTTTAAATAATTTTTATTTTTTTTATTTTGTCATGAAATACATAAACACTTTTGATTGTTGAAAAAATGTGTGTTAAGTGCAGTAGTGGAGTCTTTTTACACTGCAAATATGATACCATTTTCAATCAATATATGGGACTCAGTTCCTCAGATCAAAACTCCAGTAACATACATTAATATGAATAACTCTAATCTATGTTATAGTAAATATAAATATTTCAACAACCGTCCAAAAGTCTTCTTTAGTCTGCTAGAAAAAAAATGCATATCTCAGTTATAGTAAAGGCTCCACGCTGAATACAAGTTAAAGAAACATTTTTCTGAAATGAACCGTAAAAGCAGCTATGGATTTGTTTTTGGGGAGACGGTAAAGTTCAGCATCAGGTTTTCTGACATGTGTGATGACAGAGACATTCACTTCTCACCCATTTTTTATGATAAGTTGAATTCAGTCAAAAATATTCAAGATGTTGCTCTTAACATCTGAATTTAGTGACGTCCATCAATCAAACTTAAGCTTTGGATTATGCATAACTTGAGTTAAAAAGTTTTTCAAACTTTAAAACATATATTTCTCTATTATTTACCACTGCATTAGTGATGCTCTACATTTCTTCTTTCTGAAAATAACATTTTATCCTCTCAAATAGGTTTTTTATAAGCTATGCATAGGAAAATATGTAAATCCAGTCTCCACCCACTTCTGCTTGTCTTGTATATCTTCACCAGAACAACTTTCGCATTTGAAATCTAAGCTGTAACCATGATGGTCATAGGAAGTATTTTCCTCTTGGCTCTTATTTCAGGTGAGTTAAATCTACCCAGCTGAGAGTAAAAAAAGAAAAAAGGTTCAGATGATGTCTGCAATTGTCAAAACTCTGTGTTTGTTTCAGCTGCCCGGGGTCAGTCCCTCACCTCCTCTGAGCCAGTGGTCCAGAGACCAGGACAGTCAGTCACTCTGTCCTGTAAAGTACAGGGACTGTCTCTTGCTTGGCTCCACTGGATTCGTCAGAAACCAGGAAAAGGACTAGAATGGATCGGACGCATCGACAGTGGCACTGGCACAATATTTGCCCAAAGTTTCCAAGGCCAGTTTTCGATCACCAAAGATACTTCGCAAAGCACAGTTTCTCTGACAGTGAAGAGTCTGAAAGCAGAAGACTCAGCGGTTTATTACTGTGCAAGAGAGACACAGTGACACAGAAGTCAACAACGCTGTGCAAGAACTGACAAACAATAATATCTATGAGAGGCGATGAAGTGTGTGATGCTGTGAAAACAAGTTTCCTATTGACTTCCAGACAAAGCCTGGAAAACACTGACGCAAAAATAAAACAGAATCTATAAAGGAATTAACAAAAACCACAGATTTTTTCCCAAATGTTTACTGTAGATACATTAAAATGTATAATTCCTTACCTTGTTACAGCATAATATGATATGCTCTGGTTAGGACTGGATAGGATAGAGACCAGGATGACATGGGGATTGGAATGGTAGCAATGTGCCATATTTCAGTAGTAGTAGTATTTTAATACATAAAAAAACAATCAAATCAATGTGTGGTTTTATGGGTATGAAATAAGATGGCACTTTCAAGTTGGGACAAGAAAAAAATGATGCATTGTTTTAGACAATGACTGAAGGTTGTGCTGTTCTGGCTTGAAGATTAATTATCTTTGATTTTATTATGATTATTTTTGTCTTCAGGTTGGTTGAAAACTTGTAATTGCACTTTTTATGCATATTATGTCTGAAAATTTAACCATAATGCAGTTTATCCATGTCAGAGTTTGTTTCATTTACATAATAAAAAGAGAGCTTAGATAAGTACATTTAGAGAACAAAGTAAAATCTAAAACAAACACAAACTATAAGTTGTGGTATTGCCATGTGCTTTGCAGTTCGTATGTGTGAACGCTAGAGGGCAGTAAATGCTATAAAATAGAGTGCCGTTGTTTATGCTTGAGTTATATGGTGAAACCTATTTAGATATTCGTTATATTTTCGGAGTTAATTAAATATTTTTATTTCCAAAAACATTTAATAAGATGAAAATGTGTTGCTACAGATATGTTTTATTTTATTTATTTTATTTTTTTTTTACTTTTTCCCCACAGATAAAAACTACAAGTGAACATCTTCATTAATTCACAAGTCTTATATTCAAAGTCATATTGTGTTGGGAAGGAATAAGATTTTCTCCCAAATGTTTACTGTAAAACAGAAAGGACTGTATATGATAGTAACAAGACTAACTAAAACATTTACTTTACGGAGATTCAGAAAATCCCTTGAAACGTTGACAGCTGTTCCTCACAGTCAGTTCTTCATGACTTAAGAAATGGCCATCATAGATGTTTTACGTACTGAAATCTCTCACTACTAGTTAAGGTAAATACGGAAATATTTAACCAGACGATTCCTCAGTTTGATTTCAAGTGATGTTTTGTTCTACTGTTTGAGGAGGAGTCAATGCAAAATTTCAGTCACTTTTAATACTTATATGACTGCAGATGGTGACAGAGAGCAGTGATCAAAGCTCACATGATGGACTGCAGGAAGGGCCTGGTGTTTTTGTCCTTCTGTTTGGCGTGTAAATACACTTTTCTTCACTTTCAGAGACTTTTGAGATATTTTATATTCAAGCTTGATGTTTTGCTAAATACATTTTTATTTCTAACTTGACAGGTGTTGTTGGTCAGACACTGACTCAATCTGAGTCGGTGACAAAGAGGCCAGGTGAAAACCACAAACTGACCTGTACAGGTTCTGGATACACGTTCAGTAGCAACAGCATGGACTGGGTCCGACAGGCTCCAGGAAAAGGACTGGAGTGGGTTGCTTACATCAGATATGATGGTGAACTAATATTGTACTCTCAGTCAGTTCAAGGCCGATTCACCATATCCAGGGACGACAACAGACAGCAGGTGTATCTGCAGATGAACAGCCTGAAGACGGAAGATTCTGCTGTTCATTATTGTGCCAGACACACACAGTGAAAAGAACAGTGTGGAGACCTGCACAAAATCCTCCATCTTCATCCCAGAAAAAAGCAATATAGAAAAATACAAAATAAATTTACAAAGTCATAATTTCAGTCATTGTAGCAAGTTAATAAAAGTTTGAGGCGCCGTGATAGTTTGAGGTTTGACTTGTCTGGCAGTTTGGTGGCTAATGATTTAATTTCTCTCTCTTGCAGAGCATGGGACATTTATAAACCCATTGTAAACAAGCATTTTAATTTAATTTAAATGTTTACTATTTATTCACATCGTGTAGAAAGGAGCAAGTTTGAGTTTGTACTCAAACTTAAAAAGTTTAAGTTTGAGTAAACTTAAATGAGCAAATACAAGCATGTTTTACAGCTTGTATTTGTTTCTGGCGAACAAAATCCACGCATTCAATTTAGAATTTTCTTTATTATTTTAAATCTTAAATCTTTATTTTGAGTCAGTTTTTCTCGCTGATGTTTTCAACCACACTTGTGTACTGACCTCTGATG